AGAAATCTGCAAAATTTTAACATTTCCTGGTATACCACTCACAGAATGTCTTGCGCCTTTCGTCATCGCCTGGTTTTAGCGCTTGACATATTCTGAATTTGTATGGATGGAATTTTTGTTTCCGCAAAATGAAATGGGTTGTTGATTGAAACCAGTTGATGAGGTATTAGTGTGTTGACTAATTTTCCTTCAAAATAAGTGGAACTGATGGCATTTTTCCTTTGGAGTTTCGAAAAAACATTGATGATAGCCAAAAATAGGTCGAAACACAAATGAACCACCTTGTATAATACATGATTGAATTCAAAATGAAAAAAACCTTTTAGAATCTGTGGAAAAATTATCAGGACCGTACTCAAAAAACAAAAGTTGATGATGGTTCCACGAATACGAAACGTCGCATGAAAAAATCGGTATCACCACGTTGACCGTCATCAAAAGTTGCTATGAAAAAGTTTTCTCAGTTTTGCTGTATCTCTAATAATAACGGAGAAAAAGAATAAAATAGAAATTCCAAAAATTCACTTTTTTCGATATAACTCATAACTCAAAAACTAAAAATGATTTTCAAAATTCTCGAAGGCTCTTGATATGAGCCTCCGAATGCGCAACTTTTGCCCCATTTAACCGATTTCGTATCTCTTACCGTTTTCGAGATCCCCATGCTGTTCAACCTTATCTTGGACAGACTGTATACATATAAGAAGTTGGTGATTGAAATCTAGTCTTTACTTTCGGCTCGAGAAATTAATCACTAGTTCATGAAATGTTGTATGCATCACGTGCGTGAAATGCGTTTATGGCCTTCAGCGTGTAATGGACCTTCGGCTGACGCCATCGGGCCATTATACACGTCACAAGCCATAAACGCCTACTTTACGCCTTTGATACATAAATGAATAGTATGGCCCATTGCTATTCGAAGTCAGAGTTTTTCTTTTCAAACATTAAATTTGGTCTAATAGAAGTGTGGATTCTCCTCCAACTCCCCTAAAACTGGGTTTACGTCATTATCTATCGAAGCAACATCCCAACAATATGTCCTTTGAATATCTGAATCAAATTTCCAATCACCCTGTATTATCAATAACAACAATCACATCAGATGCATCTTGTGTCATTGTACTTGTCAGCAAGGTTTCATAAATTTCGTCGTCTTCATTTCAAACACATTTACTTGGTTCCATACTTTTAATCTATGCTTTATCCTAACCCTGTATTGCAGAGGAATGAAAAATATTCATGCAGGGTGTTTCGAAGTTGTAATGATAAAATCCGAGTGGGGACTGTTGAGCTCATTGAAAAAAGTGAGCATTTCATTAATTACTCAAAAATTCATTAGCCGATTCCAAAGAGATTTTAACGTTTCAACATTGCTAGCAGCAGATCCCGACAAAAGCGTATCTGTCAGCTGTCCTGGTAGCGATTTTACTAAATATAAACTATTGCAGCACAAGACACGCCCACCATAATACGTCATATCTCATACTGTGCTCCAACGCAAGAACTGAAACTTTCTCGTTGTCAATCTCTTGTACGCAGTAAATTCATACACCCAAATGGTCTACTGGTTAGCGCTGTCGACTCTCAGTCTGAAGGTTCATGGTTCGAATCGCTGTGAACTCGAACTTTTTTTTGCAACTTTTTTTTTCACCAATGTTTTTTTACTTCGTCCTGGTATTGTCTAGTGGAGTTTCTCTGCAGGTTTCAGTTCCAATGAATATATGATCGATAGCTCCAATGCTATGCGGATTCAATTTATAATGTATGACTAAAATATTTTCGATTTTTCACTCTCATATAGTAGTATTCCCAAGAACAAGATCCTAACCTCCAAAAGTGCTGAACAAATTCCAATACCTACCTCCCCTCCTATCCTCCTAAGGTACGCTCGATGTTTTTCGAACATTATAGGAATTTCCTCACGTGAGCTCCAAGATACAGAAAAGATCACTTTTTGAAAGCTTATTGATTGTAACTCATCCACAATGTTTTCCAGCTCGGAGTATATCAGAATTTGAATATTGACAATAATAAGGAGTGGAGGAAGCAATAGAAAATCTGATAATTTCGCGAGTGGACTGATAATGAATTATTGGCATTCAATCACTTGTAATGAAGTGTTTTTGACCAGCTTCATTACTAGACTGGTTTTGATCAAAATCTAAGTACCTGAGCCTGATTCTAGTTGAATTTCACCTGTTCGAAAGCTCGAAACCTGAAAACCTGAGAGCTGAGTAATGCATTGATTCCTGACTTCACAAAGCTTTTCTTGATAGTAAAACTCTCATGAACATCATCACAACCCTAAAGACTTCAATATTTTTCAACCCTTTGCTTATGATATGAAATTTGATTGAATTATTTATCAGTTGAAATGATGAATGTTTCACTGCTCATAACTTTGTTGTTATTGAATATTTTCCAAATTCATTCAGTAGCATAAGCAAAGGTAGTAGATCCTGTTCCTGTGCCCATTTAGGGTTGAATATTATTTTTTCCGCGTTTTGTGTTGGAGGTGCACATGTGGTTTTCAAGGACAGATTTAGTGGCCATGGCCATGAGCCATGACAAGGTGGGAGTTTTGACCAATGGGATTCCAGATTTACTTGTCCTTGTGCCAAGGCCAAAGCAGTGCATAAATACTGAAGACAGCCAAGGATTCGTCACTCTCACTCTCTAAGCTCTTCTCTACAAGTCTACACCACCTGATCTCCGTTGCTCTTCAAGCTCCTGATTCTCTAGCTGATCTGTTAGTGCTCTCATAGTTCATTCAAAACCAGTGTAAAGTAGTATTGTATAGTGATTTCCGGTTACACAATACATGCATGTAAGTTTGTATATTTTTCACCAGTGTTACTCATCCTGTTCATAGATCCATTTCATTCCTGTTGTTTTGCATACCGATACATCACCCGACCTGTGTAAAGAATCCAGAATAAACGGACTTTGTGATGGCATATTTCATATTTCTTTCTCTGTTGTCAGTGTGTTTTCAGTTCTAAATAGTTCAATAATTCAATTAGTGATTTTCAATATTTTCATTTGTCAAAATTGCAGAATATTATTATTGACTGACGACTGACACTGACAAGCCAGTTAACAACTCTTCTTCTTCTTCTTTTCCTCGAGAAATCCTGTCCTGTGCATCCGGGTCTCTGTGCTTTGTGTTCCGTCAGGCGGTGATCTATGCTTCATGAACTATTGACATTGATGGAAAAATATAATTAATCAACCTCACTAAAAATCCGATATTAGAAAATTAGAAAAATCGAAGGAAAAGAAAAGATAAATAGAAATTGAATCTGTTTAATTCGTTTAGAACTGTGTTTTCGATTCTCCAGGTAGAAATGATGATATAGTTGAGTTAATAATCTTCCAGACCTGGAACCTTAAAATACCAAAGACCTGAGAGATATTTTGCTTTGATTCCTGTAATTATCCAGACCAGAAAATGGCAACCAGTATTCCAGGCTAGACCCAGGGTTTGTAATTAAAGCCTACACTCCCTTGCATGGCTACTTATTGATTCCAGGTCGATTCAATACCATTGACCCCTGGATTATACTGTGGGTACCGAGGTAGGTATACCTCCTGTACCTTTCTCCACTGTTGCTACTGTGGGCCTCCTTCCCGACTAAGTTGGGAGGAGCAGGTGAAGTAAATCACCTTTATCAAAAATCTGGCGCTCGAGAATCCCCCCTGTCAAATACCAGAGTAGTCTCCTGTCCTGTACAAAGTATCAGAGTAAGGGCCGCAGAATAAAGACCCTTACACACTCCACTCTGGTGTCGTTAGGACCCTAAATTAATTCTTGCATTACCTCTCACGCTCTTTCTAGGTAAATAATAAGTCTATGCGTTGTTTCAAATCATCGAATTTCAGAGCTCATTTCAAACGTAACGTCATGGCCGTTATTTGATGTCAGTTTTTATGCAACATTGTGCTAAATGCTGGGAACTGAGAAGACCACGCCCACAAGTCATGCGCGGGGTTGTCACCTTCACCGATTCAAATGTCCTCTAGTGTGCATGAATTGATATAATTATTATTCACACAAATTTAATATAGGCAATAAGCCACAAATCATAAGGGAACTTTAGTTTTCACTAGCGGTAAATTTCTAGCCGTTTGAAAATTATCGTGTCATCATTGATGATTTCAGCACCTGAAAATCGACCAAAAAATTCTTGAGAAATATGAAATTGGAAGGTGAAAGTGATGATTCTATTCAAGAAATAGAAAAAAATTGTCTGCTCGCCAATAACAATGAATTAGTGATTAATGCAGTTATACAGAGAAGTGCACAAAAAACGGCCAGGACTGAAAAATTTCTAATAATTCGAGATTGGGTATTGAAAATTGGTAGGTAGCAAGTATACCAAATTGCTCATCAATTGACGAAACAATTTTTGTTCTATCACTTCCAGTTTCACCGGAAACGACCCCAACTTTTGATTTGCAGATGGGACATCCTGTATTGTATTCCATAATCGGTTAGGGATTGTCATAAGGAATTCATCGATACTGGGTTTGATGGGGTTATTTCAAACGATTACGCAGATATTCGCGTTCTAAGTTTCTATATGCTCAATGGGTGTGACAGAGAAAGAAGTTTTGATATTGCAAAGTCACACCCATTAAGCATATAAAAACTTTGAACGCAAATATCTTTGTTATTGTTTGAAATAACCCTATCAAACCCGGTATCATTGAATTCGTCATGGTAAATCCTAACCGAATGTGGAAAACAATACAGGGTGTCCCATTTGAAAATCAAAAGTTGGGGTTGTTTCTAGTGAAACTGAAAGTGATGGAAGAAAATTGGTCCTATCAATTGATGAGCAATTTGGTATACTTGCTGCACACCAATTTTCAGAACCCTATATAAAATAATTCAAAAGTTACAATCCTGGCGGTATTTTGTGCACTCCTCTGTATATTCATTTAATAATTGAATCTCATATATCATTATATGTGTTCGATTTCATCAATTCCAGTGGTATCCAGGGCTATGAATCCATCGAATGCTTCAATTGATCCAAGTATTCAAACAACAGATGACCAGAAAACGATCAGCAGTAGGAATCACAACTATACCGACTGTTGCCTAGCGAAAAATGTTTCCTCGAATTGCCTTGGATTCTGTAACATTCAAAGCATTCTTGAAGGTGAGTTGATTAATTTAATTGATGGATTTTATCTGATTCAATCGGATTTAATGATGTCAAAACATAACGGAATCATGTTGAAATTGAATGATTCCACTGTTCATTCATTAATGCCTAATGACCTTATCTCAATGAATGGATAATACGTTCAGTTATCGGAATTTCACGTGATTCATCTTGAATATTCAGAACTGAATGAATATTTGTTATGACTCTTTCAGTCCAAGATTTGAAAACAATATCTCTGCATTAATTCTCTCATAGTGTTCAAGAAATAAGTATCTAGGAATTTTCACAGAAGAGAACGAATGACTTGAGGTCAGGGGGAGTATGAATTCATGAAAATCTGCAGGCTGTGGAAAAATGTATTGATTGAACAAAATGTGGACAATAACGAATGAAAAAACTTCACAGACGATAAGATTTCCACAATTTCACAATTCTCAACCACACGACATGTTTCGCTAACACAGTAGCTTCATCAGGTGAAATAATGGTACAATCAACTAAACTAACCTTGACTTGCTTAACTTTCAACTACGAAATTGTCTAACTTCAATATATCCTACTTTTCCAACCTGAAGAATAAGGATTACCTGTGTAAAGGTTTGACAAACCTTCATTTCCAGAAAATAGACACAATCGGGTCGATTCTGTTCGGATCTTGTGATAACATTGCTAAGATAACAATATTGTTATGATCATAATGTATAACAATATTGCTATGAAGTTCTGTATTCTGTTTGCAGAGTAACTGCAAGATTGGTTATAATTCCAAGTGATAGCCATATTGTTAAAAAATTGAGAATTCTTGAGCTGACAACACTGTTTTCAACTCATTTCTTAAGGGTTAGGTATCGGTTTTGCCATTTTTTCATGAAGAAGAAGAGTTCATGATTATTTAACCTCTCAAATTAGTCAGTCCTGCACTGACACTACAAAATTATATTGTTCAAATTGAGATTCTGTATTCGATGAATCTGGTTGTCGTTGTGCGACTGGTGCAAGTAATCAATCATGTCCCCCTAAATGAGAAAACAACTAAAAGCCGGATGAAGAGATCGTGATTTTTTTTCGAATATTCTAGCAAAATAGCTTGATGAAACTTTTCATCAGGCAACTGAAATGGTTTTCTGGTTTCTCTGATATGCCGAAATAGTAGTCTCATATTCCCTCTACAAATTGGAACTTCAAGAAAAGGTTTTCAAGTAGTTGGTCACAGTAGTGAACCTATCCTATAAGTTTGTAAACACCATTCTAAGTTTTTCAATGATTCTTCTACAAATTGAAACTTCGAGGAAAGGTCTTCTAGTAGTCAGTGACACAAGTGAAATCACATATGTTTTTAATCCACTATTTTCTGAATTTTCATACACTTGGAAGAATTTGTAGTGCAAAAACAAAGAATCCACTACCTTGTTATAAGATAGCGAGCACAAAATTGATGTTGCCGAGATAGCAAGAAAGCTGACCAGATGTCATTGAAATTGACAGATCATATTGCCAAGAATCGATGATTTGAATTCCACTTTCGAATCTTGCTATGATAACCATATTGCTATTTGCAAACAGAATCGACCCGAATATCTACATTAAAATACGGTGTACCAGATGAACTTGATATGGTTTTTAGCAACTGAATATTATTACCGACTAAGAAAACAAATTCAACAGTGGTCAACTATTGAGGTATAGTTGATCGTTAAGTAAAACATTACGATTTTTGTGATAGTTGATTTCCAATGATTCAAAACGATTGAATTTCATTTCCTTTCATTTTCTACGTGTAGAGTTCCAAAATCATTATCAAAATTATGGTTTTCTTCTAATATATGGTTGACGTATGTTGAATTTGTTTTCTTTTTCAAAAATTCATCCTATGTTCATGAATGCGCTGAATAAACGTACGACCTGTCTGACTGATATATATCTCGGGACAAGATCCACAGATGAGTTTGTATACCCCTGATTTCTCGAATTCAGAAGTTTTGTGTTTATTATGTTTGATAAACCTTCCCAACGTGTTCTTCGTTCTTTATGCTACTTTTAAGTTCTGTTTATGTAGAAATGAAGCTAATTTTTCAGTTGATGATCCGGAATAGGTTGAAGTTCTATAATTTTGATTATTATTCCTGATGGCAGGATGAACTCCTTGAATAGCTTCACTATGGAGTATTTCAGAAAGAATACTGTCTATCAAATTAACGTTGTATTCGTTGTTGACTGCAATCTGTTTCATGATATTGAGTTCCTTCTTCATTAAAATTGACTTCTGAAAGAGAAAAATTCACTAGCCCGTGTATTTTTTTATCGCTTAAAGCGCACGAAAGGAAATCCCTATAATGTTCAAAGAACATCATGCGTTCCTAGGGAGGATAGGAACAGGAGGTTGGTATCTTAATTTTTTTTGAACTTCTGGAGATTATATATTGTTGGGAATACTTCCTCAGGCAATGAATTCCAGAGCCTAGCCGTTCTATGGATGAAGGAGTTTTGATAAAGTGCTTTTCGACTTCTTTCGAGGTTGGCAACGACAGGATGTGTTGATTGGGCCTGTCTAGTTCGTCTGACTGGTATTGCTAGTGAAGGGACGATAGCAGAGATTTCTGAAGAACATTTCTTGTGGAAGTATCGATAGAAAAGTGAAAGGTCGCCGACCTTTCTACGGTGTTCCAATGATGTCGAAGAGTGAGTGAGTGTGGCGTCACCCACCGCAGGCGAATGGCTCTTCTCTGAATGGAATCTAAGAGCATCAGCGTTTGTTTTGGTGCTGAACCCCATATGTGGGAGCAGTATTCTAGGACAGGTCGTATCTGCGCTTTGTAGATCATGAGAAGCTGTTGAGGTGTAAAGTAGCTTTTCGCACGGAACAAGAATCCGAGTTTTTGTGAAGCAGCTTTTGCGATGGAACTGACATGATTATCCCATGAAAAAGTGTTGCTGATGGACATACCGAGCATAGATATGGTGGGCTTGGTAAGGATGGTGGTGCCAGACATTACAATATCGGGCATACTGAGTTCCGCCTTTCTAGATAAAATACAGGCTTTAGTTCTGGTGGCGTTGAATTCAAGTAGGTTGTTGGTATTCTAGGCTGTGATTTCAGTAAGGTCTTCATATTATATGCTGCAATTTTATATTGATAATCAGCCAAGGTTAGTTTATTTCATTGTACCAGTTTTTTACCTGATGAAGCTACTGTGTAAGCGAAACATGTAGTGTGATTGAGAATTTTCGTATCGTCAGTAAAGAAAACACACAATAACAGAAATTAATTCTAACATTGAAAAAATGTCATGTACAAGTCTTCATTTCATATGATAAATTTGAATGATGAATAAATTCTGTCACTTTGGAATAATGATTTGTTAAATTCGTTACATAAACCATTCTGTTAAAAATATCTAATAGTTTCTTTCTGTGTACTGAAACCTCTTGTATATTTTTTATGAAAATTCAGACTACTTTTCAGGTACGACCGGCCAAGATCCCGAACAATGCGAACCCGATTTTCCTGCTATCGTTCATTGCATGGCCGATGGCAGGAATCACGTCCCCTGCTGCATCCAGGAAAGAGTTCCTGATATCTGCCAGGACGTTTGCAAGGGAGAATACACCGTCATCACGAACAACATCAAGACGCACTTTTCCTGCTCCTCGTATACGGAACAAACTTTGGCTTGTATCACCGAAGGAATCGGTGAGATTTGTTTCTTCAGAATATTAACAAATGAAGGCTATTGTACACAGTCTTTGTCACGAGCGAATTCTCAAACGATTTCGGCTACAAGCCATCATCAGGAGTAATTTCGGAAAGTGAGTGGAGATTAGAAAATTTTAATTGAAGTTATGTAATGAGTTAATGAATTTGATAGAATTCAATAAAGTTCTACTCACTTGTCAGAAAGTTTTTACAGAAGATTGAAGCACAAAAGGAACATTCATATGAGCCCAACACTGGAAAATTCAAGTTTTTCGAGAAAACTAGGTAATCTGGATCATAAATCAAATAGTGTTGACTATCCTATTATGAAATATTGAAAAGAACTACACCTGTAAAGTATCTTGGTATGTGGATTGATGAAAAATTGAAATGGGACAAGCATATTATAGAGGTTCTGAAACAAAAAATATCTCCAATTATTGGAGCTTTGCGAAGATGCCCTAAACTTGACAAAAAAGTCATGAACATACTACTTCAATTTCATATACTTAGTTGTATTACCTATATAAAGAAAACTACTTTCCTTGAACAATCTAACCTGACTCGGCCTAAATGAACCTTTTTCGTAGATAGTATATTTTTCCAGTTCTCAACACACTAAATGGACCACTCATAATTTGACTCTATTTCAAAGAACTGTATTTTTTTAAAAAATTGACCGATCTTCATGCGGTTTTCGATATCAGATGTGATGTTTCATCGGCTTCAAAGAGAGCTAGAACAATCTGAAAAAGTCCGCAAAACAAAACTCACACAGGGTGTAAAGTGGAACCATTACACTATGGTCTACATTTCCAATGCTGCCAGAACTCGAGAAATTTTTTTCTGATCAAAAGTCAGTCATATTATGATACACTGGGACCTCATCTCGGGACGTTTTCGTGATTTCTCCTTTATTGGCAATTGGAACAAAAATTCGATTTTTTTTCGAAAGTCTTGCATTTCTTGATTTTTTTCTCTAGAACTCCACTTGAGCTGACTATTGGGAAGAACTGTTCTCATGTTTTATGGAGGATAATGAAAGACGAAAAAAGCACTTTTTTGGATTATACAGGATGATAAGAAACTAGGACAAAATCTCATTTCAGTGAAAAAAATCAAAAATGGTGATTAAAACTATGACCCATTCGATCCAGTATATTCAGAAACGGCCTTCCCGATATCCATTATTCATATTAGACCATTAACTCGAGACGTTTTCGAAAATTCGTCTCTAAATGAAATACAGGATGAAAATTTCCAATTCAAACTTGTTTCCTGATATTGATGGTTTCCAATATTTATTGCCCAAGTATGAGACACAGGGTATTGTTGTTCAATGTACTGAGTGTTCTACAACTTATCTGACAAATCTCAACCACAACTACGATATTACATAAGAAGTCTATCACAAAAAAAATATAGAAGTAAAACGAGATGAAAACTAAAATTTGTAACACTTTATATCCACTGAAACTATTCTAAAAGGGCTCTATTGGCGAAATATGACATTATTGAATTCTTCAGCATTATGAAGATCCAACTAGAAAGTCCTATATCCTAAATTCCAGTACTTGGTAGGCCTCCCCGATTCAACAAAACCTCATGAAATCGGTTTGGCATAGATTTTATGAGGTTGTTGATGAAGTCTATTGATATTGCCGCCCATTCTGGATAAGGTTGTCATCATTTTGGGGTGCCTCGCCTTCTCGATAGGTCAAGTTTCATTCGGCTCCACACATGTTCAATCAAATTCAGATCTGGAGATCATGCTGATCACCACATTCTTTTAACATTATTGTTTTCTAGAGTTCGTAATTTGTCAGATAAGCTGTGGAACACTCAGTATATTGAACAACAATGCTCTGTGTCTCATACTTGGGCAATTAATATTGGAAATCCGTTGATAAAATGAAAAGAATCATCGATATCAGGAAAAAAGTTTGAATTGAAAAATTTCATCCTGTATTTCACTTAGAGGCGAATTTTCAAAAACATCTCGGGTTAGTAGTCTAATATAAATGATGGATATCGAGAAGGCCGTTTCTGAATAATATACTGGATCGAATGGGCCATAGTTTTAATCACCATTTTTGATTTTTTTCACTGAAATGAGATTTTGTCCTAGTTTCTTATCATCCTGTATAATCCAAAAAAGTGCTTTTTTCGTCTTTCATTATCCTCCATAAAACATGAGAACAGTTCTTCCCAATAGTCAGCTCAAGTGGAGTTCTAGAGAAAAAAATCAAGAAATGCAAGACTTTCGAAAAAAAAAACGAATTTTTGTTCCAATGGCCAATTAAGGAGAAATCACGAAAACGTCCCGAGATGAGGTCCCAGTGTATCATAATATGACTGACATTTGATCAGAAAAAAATTTCTCGAGTTCTGGCAGCATTGGAAATGTAGACCATTGTGTAATGGTTCCACTTTACACCCTGTGTGAGTTTTGTTTTGCGGACTTTTTCAGATTGTTCTAGCTCTCTTGGAAGCCGATGAAACATCACATCTGATATCGAAAACCGCATGAAGATCGCTCAGTTTTTTAAAAAAATACAGGTCTTCGAAATAGAGTCAAATTATGAGTGGTCCATTTGGTGTGTTGAGAACTGTAATAAACGTTTGAAGATCTTGTTCAAAAAATTATTTCAGTAAAATACCTGCACTTCATTAGCAATCACTGAAAGTATTGTATCGTCTCTCATTTGATATCCCAACAAATGATCTGTATGCGATAACAGAAAAAGTTTCATTGGATGAATTATATAATATAGATTCTCTTAAAGTTTCATATGATATCATAAACAATAATCTGAAATCCAATTTTGTTTTGATAAGAAACTCAGAAATTCATGGTCATCACACGAGACAATTCAACTTATTTCATCTTGATTCTGCTACTTCTATAATTGGTCAAAAAAATTTACTCACGCTGCACTAGCTGAATTCAATAAATTACCAAATGATATAAAAAAATGCAGACACATTTCAAAATTTAGAATTGAATTGAAAAAACACATGATTTTATTACGAAATGGATAACATTGATACTTTGCCATCTAGAGATTAGTCCCTGTGGCTCTTTTTATGACTTGATCGATCTATAGAATTTTCAGACTTTTTTTAGTATTTTTTGTTGTCGTTGTTGTCACCTTATATTATTTCAATATTGTTGTTTGTAATCAATTTTCTCATACCAGAATTCTTTTTCTGACTGGAAGCTAGTTTCTCAATAAACAATATACAATAAAAAACATTGTTCAAAATTAAATAAAATAAAATAAAAGGAAAGTTATTTCACATGTGCTTTTACATTTTCGGCGGAACGACTGAATGAATGAGGTTGAAGTAAAAATATGTATATGACATCTTCAAAAATTATCTAGATTGACAGACGATCAAGACAGTGCATTTTTCGACATGAACTAAGAAACACAAGAACTTAAAAATTAATGTAAGACAATTAATGACGTAGAATAATGACATTTGCAATGTTGACATAAAGTTGACATAGAACCAATCTATCAACAAAGAGGAGCAGTTTGATTGAGGCATTGAAATGTTATGGATTTATGTAGCAAGAGTAAATTCAACGAGTGGGGATTGAAGTTATTGTCTAATTGGTTGGGAGTTTTTTCATAAAGCTTTGAATTTGTTTCTTCTTCCACATGTTTATTGTTTGTTTTTTTCACAAATAAGATGACGGGTCCCATCAATTTCATCGGTGGTATTCGCGAAAATCACGAAGTGTGCGGCCTCTGGTGGCTAACTGTACAAGTCTTGCGAGTATGAACAACAAATATGGCGACCATTGTTTTGAATTTCAGAAATATGTGTTTTATTTGAAAATAATTTATTTGTTGAAGTGCATATTCCAGAACCTCATTTCTCCCTGATGAAAAAACTCGAATTATTGCACGAACTTTTATTGTTTACAATGAAGAAACCAGTACCTACCTTATAATAATATAATATACATTTTCGCTGAAGCACAATTAGAATCATTGTATGAATGTTGGTTGCAATGATTTGATCTTGAGAATAACTTCAAGTCCTCGATTGCTGGAGATCCTTGTTTATGTAAATCGATGATATTGTTCATTCTGAGCAGCCTCTCCAACCATTCTTCTTTCCCAACCCCTTCACTAGAATTCCATCTCCTTCATAAAAGCCAGTGATATTTCTTGATGAATTCAATTATTTCTTCATACCTATACCATATTGTTGTAATAGCTGATTGTTTGTATGGTTCCATTCCAGTCCATGCAAGTGTTGAGTGGACCATTCCGATCATTCCATATGTTTGAAAACTGTGGGATTGTAGTGTGATATCAATGATGAATATAATTGTCCACATCAAAATGGCAATTTCTCTGCACAAACAGTAATTTTTTTCATACTGGAAACCTTGTACGTATTTCAAGAAGTCAACTTATTATTCACTATTATGCAAAATGATTTGGAAATAACCAATTTGCAATGAGTGCATACGGCAATGTTTTTGTTGTTCATACTCAGTTGGAAATTTGACGTTGATTTGACATATATAATAGAGCCATCTATTGGTTCGTGATTTTCGCGAATTCTGCTGGCACGATTTGTTGGTAATAAAAGGGAACATAATCATTGCTGTTTCTTCGAGCATATTATTGTGGTGGTACAACATTAAATACATTTTTATTGGTAATCTATCATACACTACACACCGTTTCTCTACTAACCAAACCGATTTTTCACACATCGACACGTGTTTCGCTAACAATGTTAGCATCTTCAGGAGAAGATTGAGTTTTCTCCTGAAAATGCTAACATAGTCAGTGAAACACGTGTCGAGGTGTAAAAAATAATCGGTTTGTTTAATGGTAAAACAGTGTGTAGTGTGTAATCGTGCCAAAGGTTTTAGTCTTCGATATAAGCATAATAGGGTACATATACCGGGTGACACAGGAGACATATGTAACAGCCTGTAGTTTTTTTATTCGAAGAGAATAAAATTTGAAATTCACAAGGGTTGAATTATCGATGATGGCGCTCTCCTTGAACCCAATGACAATTTTCTTCAACCACCTGTTCGATCGGAAGTAGACCCAACTTTTTTTTTTCAGATATAGCATCCTGTATATTCCTGTAGCCTTTCTTATTCGCCTTGAAATTCTCTATTCAACTATGTATCACAATTTGATAAGCGAAATGATACTGAAAATACCCCAATGTAGACTCATGATGACCATGATGTATTAGGACGATACATCAATTTCATTATTACAACAATTTCCGTTTCATGTATCCAAATAGATGATCATATTATGGCCATATGTCGAAAATGAAAGACAAATAGTTTCTTCACAAGTAGCCAAATAAAAAAAACTGAGTTTCCATCTTAGTTTTCTTAATACCGTGAGTTATTTTTGGATGAATTTTTAAAGCTCAATGAAATCATAGGCAATCTCCTGAGACCGATTAGGGTATGGAGAATATTCTGATAATATCGATCTTTGGATTTTCAAGCCTATCAAGCATCGAAATGTCATTGTATTCGGGCCACAGCCAACTTAATGTATTTCAATAAAATGCAATTTAACAGCCAATTAATAAAAGAATATCAAATTGTGATACATAGTTGAATAGAGAATTTTAAGGCGAATAAGAGCTACAGAAATATTTATTCAATTGCCATGAACAGTCATATGGTTTACATACATTTCTAGGTACAAAATAAGCTTTATCAGAATCTTGTGTGTGTAGGCACCAGTCGTTATCAAATCACATTTACAACAGATAATTCACCTATGAGTGAATTCGCTAATGAATCGTCTTCTAAACTTATATCTAGACTAATATAATATACAATCTGAATATATACAATATATATGCAATATATGTCAAACTAATAACTAGATATTTGGTTTGCTTTTTAAAATCCAAGATGATATGATGATATACAGGGTGCCATTGAAAAAAAGAGTTGGGTCTATTTCCAATCAAACAGGTGGGAAGAAAATTGTCATTGAATTCAAGGGAAGCGCCATCATCGATAATATAACACTTGTGAATTTCAATTTTTTTTTTCATCCAAATAAAAAAACTACAAGCTGTTACATGTCTCCTGTGTCACCCTATTATGCTTATTTGAAAAACATCTCTGATAGAGTTTGATTTCACAACGCGACTTTTTACGGAAGATTTCACACCCAACATTTTCGACCAATTAGAAGCCTGTATTTTGTTTCGTTATCATAGCAACTGGACAAATTTCTGGAAATGTTTTCCTCCTCCTTGGGGAAAGGAGCAAGGAATCACACTGTAATTTTTCAATTGTTTCTAGCTATTATGGACTTATTTCCCATCATTTCATTCAATTGAAGTCGGTTAATTATATTTTATTTAAATACTGTCTGTAGGTTAATCGAGGAGGTGGTACATTTATTATTCCAAATTTTTTGGGATTTTCTCTCCTCGTTTCTATAAAATAAAAATATGAATATTATTTCAATATACGTGTAGTAAGGACAAATCAGATGATTTGCCCCAAAATATCACTGCGTTCAAAGAATTTTCCTATCAGAGAGCCTAAAAGAAAAATTCACTAGCTTGTCAGTGACAATTTGTATTGAAAAAAATTTTGGAGAAGGTAAATAAAGGTATATAGAAAAAATATCAAATTTTCACTTATCTTTGGACGTTTAGGGACCGGTTCTGCTCCCGTTTTCAACATGAAAAGAGATTATTTCAAAGCGAAGTCGTATAATATGTCTTGAAGCTTTTCAGTTTTCAATGACAATTGGTGACGTTGGCAATCAAATGAGTTACAGGATGTTTTCATCAATTAATCTTGAATTCACCATTTTCATGTTCAGATTTTAGTAGTGAATACCATGTTCTGTCTATATCAACTGAACAAGAAGCAATGCTATTGTCTCCGTTCAGAAGAATGCAAGCAGATTCCTTGATTTTTCTCTTCTGGTTGTTATCTTCTTTTCCAATGATTTTAATATTATTCCACTCTGCCATATGTTTTCCGTCTTCAGTGAGGATATGTTCAGCTAGTTTCGATTTATCGATGTTTCTTTTCTTTATATTGTACTTATGTTCCTTCGTCCTTACTGAAAGAGGTCTGTTGGTTTCACCTGTATAAAACTTTCCACAAACAGAAGTTATACTGTGATTACAATTTGTTGACGATTGTTCTTCATTTTTCGGTTTTGTTTGAAGACAACATCATCAAAAATTACCAAAAACAACCTAAAACATGGTGGCGATATGTAGAGATATTTTCATAATTTGACCTCATGACGTTATGGAGCTAGATAATCTTCTGGATTATGTGAACAATGCGGAACCTAAAATAAAATTCACTTTGGAAATTGAATCTAATAATCAATTACCGTTTCTAGATGTTCTTATTGAAAAATCAAATAACATCTTTGTAACGAGTGTATATCGTAAAAAGACCCATACTAACAGATACTTGAATTTCCAATCAAATCATCAGAAAAGTATTAAGAAAGAAATAATCAAATCACTCCATGATAGAGCCAAATCAATATCATCTGACCAACAAATTTTCAATAACGAAGTCCACCACATCAAAAATGTTCTCCAACTCAATTCCTATCCAAAGAATTTTGTCGATAGGACGATTCATCAAATTGAAAACAAACAGGGTCAACCAAAACAAAATCAACCATCAATAACGACAAATATAATACCATACATTCCCGGCATATCTGAAAAAATAAAACATGTTGGTGATAAATTTCAAGTGAAAACTGTGTTCAAAACTGAAAATACAATGAGATCAATTCTAACTCAAACAAAGCCGAGAAATGAAGAACAATAATCGTCAAAAAATTGTAATTACAGTATATACCTTGTGTTTGTGGAAAGTTTTATACAGGTGAAACCAAGAGACCTCTTTCAGTAAGGACGAAAGGAACAAAAGTACAATATGAAGAAAAGAAACATCGATAAATCGAAACTATCTGAACATATCCTTACTGAAGACGGACAACATATGGCAGAGTGGAATAATATTAAAATCATTGGAAAAGAAGATAACAACCAGAAGAGAGAAATCAAGGAATCTGCTTGCATTCTTCTGAACGGAGACAATAGCATTGCTTCTTGTTCAGTTGATATAGACAGAACATGGTATTCACTACTAAAATCTGAACATGAAAATGGTGAATTGAAGATTAATTAATGAATACATCCTTCATTTGATTGCCAACGTCACCAATTGTCATTGAAAACTGAAAAGCTTCAAGACATATTGTACGACTTCGCTTTGAAATAATCTCTTTTCATGTAACGAATATTTTATTTAACCGAATAATATTACGTGAGAAAATATCATTGATACAAAATAGTACTTCGAGTTTCTTGTAAGAAAATATATTTCTAGTATCTTTGGTGAAACGAATTTGTGGAAAACTGAAAAATTTAGTTACTAACGACTTATTTTTATCATTTTGTGAAAATGAAGCGAGTTAATTGTTGCCTACTTATGAGACACCCTGTATATTATCCTTTCGATTCCAGAACTGTTGCCCAGCCCTCCAGAAAACGTAGAAGTCGAAGCTATATCACAAACATCGATAAGAATCGAATGGTCAATGCCGATATCCAATAGCGAAACGGTCACTGAATATGCGGTGAACGTGACATCATTGAGAACATTCGATGATGAGAAGATGGAAGATGACAGCCCCAGGTCAAACAGCAGCTCCATCACACAGAGCATCATGGTCAAGGTTCCGGCCAATGAGAAGATGACGGTTCTCAACAATTTATTGCCATTCACCATGTATGAGATGAAAGGTAATTCATTTATGCAAATATTATAAGGCGGAAAGATTTGATTGTTTGTTTGTATGTATTTAATAGGCTCCGAAACTACTGGATCGATTTGGCTGAAAATTGATGGGAAGGTAGCTCAGAACCAGGAGAAGGTTATTTTTTTTTTTCTGTGACGGGAAAAAAGTTTGGCATTTCATCTCTGTTGGCAGGTTATAAAATGTCACTTTTCATAAATCACTTTATGCACTACCGGGCCGTAAAGTGCACTTTACCGCCCGCTGTTCTCAGTTACCTTATATCCACATATCAATTCATGAAAAACCTATGATCATTTTCCTAGATTCTAATATATCCAGCGGTATATCATAAACTTCTTCTTTATCCGATTCCATATCTATCGCTATTATTATTATCACTAATTTTTACATTTCAGTCAAAGAATGACAATTTAGCTCGTTTATTGGATGTATTGATTCAGACAACAACCATCAGCTTGATTTACAACGTCGAAACTAGTTAGTTAGTTACTGGGTATGCATATTGTGAAACTCTGAAGAATGAACCTCTTCTAGAGATCACATAGTTTTACTATCACGATAATTGGAATATTCGTACAATAATTTTCATATGTATATCATCCATGAACATTACGCTTCTCTTGATTACTGAATTTATACGTAACAAATTATATTCGGGGGAATATTAGTTTATCGAAATCTATATAGTCATTACTTTTGAGTCAGAAAATAAAGCACTAGTGCATAAAATTTTGTATGTATCACGTGCGTGAAATGCGTTTATGTCCTTCAGCCACAGGCCATAAACACCTCTACTTCACGCCCTTCATACAAAAATAACTATTTTTCCCGGATATATATCACATATACAGGGTGTCCCTAGACCAGTGGGACAGTTGAATATCTTCTGAACCAATAGGAATTTTCGAAATATTATAATTCCACATCATATCGCATTATGAGTGCTAACTTCAGGAATGACTATATTTTCTACGAGGGGCACAAGAAAGGCTCACAAAATCGAACATAAATTTTTTCAGATGGAACACCCTGTATTTTATTGTATTTTCATAATCTCCTTGAAGAGCTGAATTCAACGACCTAGCATACTTGGGCTCTAGCGGGAATGATTTCCGAGATATAGGGTGTGGAAAATCGAGATTTTTCATTTTTGGGAATTTTTTGTGTCAAAACTATTCATTATTGGTCAGAACGGCTTACATGTCCATATCTCAACTTTTGATTTACTATTCACTCGTATTTAATTGAAACAAATACAGGGTGGTGTAGAATTCCGACTGAAACTGAGAATTCTACACCACCCTGTATTTGTTTGATTTAAATACGAGTGAATAGTAAATCAGAAGTTGAGATATGGACATGTAAGCCGTTCTGACCAATAATGAATAGTTTTGACACAAAAAATTCCCAAAAATGAAAAATCTCGATTTTCCACACCCTATATCTCGGAAATCATTCCCGCTAGACCCCAAGTGTGCTAGGTCGTTGAATTCAGCTCTTCAAGGAGAATATGAAAATGCAATGAAATACAGGGTGTTCCATTTGAAAAAATTTATGTTCGATTTTGTGAGCCTTCCTTGCGCCCCTCGTATAAAATATAGTCATTCCTGAAGATAGCACTCATGATGCGATATGATGTGGAATTATAATATTTTGAAAATTCCTATTGGTGCAGAAGATATTTAACTGTCCCACTGGTCTAGGGACACCCTGTATATACACTGTTGATGGCTTTTGTTGTGCTATAGTTCCGAAAAATGAGTCAATAATACCGTTTTTCTACAAACGTCAAAAAATGACAAGGTTCGCGCATTAATAACAAATTGCGAAGTGACACTTTTTTTCAGTTTCCTACGTTACCGTGATACCTAGCACAAAACAATGCGCGAAGTAAAACAGTGCGCGAAGTACCTACTTCGCGCATTGTTATGCAAAATATATGAGGTATTTCTATTTCAACTCTATGGTCCTCAATCGAGCAAACATCCACGAAATCATTTATTTCTGAATGTTCAACAATAACTTTGTTTTATCTCTTGGAGCGCACGAAAGGAAATTAATATTATGTTCGTGGAACATCATGCGTACCTAGGGAGGATAGGGGGAGGCCTTTTAAGCCAGTTCAACACCATTTTTTATATCAAGCTGAGCATATTTTTACTTTAGAACTATATTTTTTGACGTTTGTAGAAAAAATGTTGTTTGCAACTCGAGCGCGAAATACTTTGGTCATCTCGACTATTTTTTTAGCTCGGCTACGCCTCGTTAAAAAAATTAGATCTCGATCACCAAAGTAGCATTTCGCGCTCTAGATACAAAAATAACTATTCCGTCTCAGAAAGAACTGCAAGTCCTTTTATGTGTTTGGGATCACACGTCAAAAGGTAAGGCGCCCGTCATCCCTTGCTCGCACAAGACTCTCGAAGACTTCTGAGGGTTGCTCGTAAGGGGGCAACCGAATGACGGATAGAACAATTTTAGAACAATTTTATCTTCCATTCGACGTCTTGGTTACGTATATAACTAAACAACCACTAAATTCCCAATTTTCTGTAATGAAATCACAGAATTAGATTGACAGAAGTGGCATCAGATATTTAATTACTTCAAAAGAATGACAAAGAAGAAAAATATTAGATTTTAGCTCACGGTTTTTTGTCTCCCTCCGATACGCGTCGACAACACAACACAATAACCTGGAGCTAAAATCTACTACTTTTTTCCCTTGTATAATAAGTAACTATATTTCATCCCGGTACCATTAGGGCATTCAAGATGGCGGATCTAATATATCGGACGAGTTATGCATGTGATTATGATCCGATTTTATTCAAAATTGGTATCTGGGGGTTTTCGGGGTCGGAGATTATGATTCTTTTGTCAAAATTTGGAAACGGTAGGATTCGGAGATTAAAGACGGTGGAACCAATATTCCGAACGAGTTTTGTAATTATATACTAATTATTTTCAAAATTTGAAAGTGAGCGTTTTCGGAATCAAAAATTATGATTCCTTCGTCAAAATCAGGGAATTCAAAATGGTAGATCCAATAATGCGGACGAGTTTTGTAATTATGTTCCGATTCTATTCGAAATTTCCATCTGGAGTTTGGGAGTCGAATCTTATGATTCTTTCGTCAAAATTGGAAAATCCAAGTGAACTGAAAAGAAGTTGAAATAAATGGTAGTTTATGAAACTAAAGAAACACGCTTTAATAAATAGCGAAACTGAAAAGTAGTAGAAAATAAAATGATAAAAGAGTCTTCATGAATATTGAACTGGAAAAATATATCATAAAAATTTTATATGTATATAGCAAAACAACGTTTGCGAGGTCTGCTAGTTATTTAATGAATGATGAGAGCACCAGCTAAAGCCGAATAACGTTAGCATTTGTAACATATTAATTCAAAGCTGAAAATGATATTTTTGATATCCATTTTGGTAACTATATACTATATATAGTATCACTTATCTAATCATCCAACTACCTACTAAACATGTCACGTTACAAAATATTGCCCCAATATATTGTAAAACTTTCTTCCGTTACATGAAAATACAGTATTGTAACAATTTTCCTGCTATATTCGTATTGACAATATAACAGAGAAACCTACTGACAAATTGTTACAAAATGACTCGTTCATTTTATTTTCAATAGCAATATTTCATCGTCTATATATTCTCATTAAAATTTCAACATTACATGGATTAACTACGAACAAAATCAGTGCAACGTTGCATATGGAAATATTAGTGAATTTCCAATTGTAATGTTGCATTGAAATTGATACTTTATTGAGTTTGTAAATAACAAAAATTAACTACAAACAATATAGCTACAACTTATGAGATGCAACATATATCAGATTATAAATTGTAATATAGCTGAAATATACAAAATGCTACATTTTGTATCGATCGAGAGACGCCGTTTCAAGGACAACTATTTCAAGTCTGGGACATTCGAACTCGAATTGTACCAAATAGGAACATTCCTAGGCGTTAGCGTGCTATTTGAGCTACAATGAATGCGTGTAAATATTCAGGGTGTTAGTGGATAAGTGCGACAAACTCCAGGGGCTCATTCCTTGTGATATTTCAGAAAATAGAGTTTATATAATGATGTGTTCTAATTTGCGCCGTTTTCAAGATACAGGGTATTAATATTTCCATGAAAAATCTTTCTTGTAATCATTACTCAAATTAATGTCTTTCTACCAATTTCAATTAAACTTGGTGGTTTTGTTGAATATAACATGGAGCTTCTTTTGATGCGTGATTGAATTCGAAAAAATATTTTCAGTTGCGTTAATTTATCGATATTTACGGTTAATATCATTTTATGCCACTGGTTTTTCTGACTTCCATATTTTTATTAGATTGACCAATTGAATGTATAATATGTTATATATATAATATGTTTCTTTTGTTTCTCGCTCAGCATTTGAGTAAATGATAAAAAATCGAGTTGACTCGAAATTTCAATGTGGGTGTTGTCGAAACATTCATTAAGATTACTCAATAACCTCAATAAGAATCATTTCAAAACCCTGGGGCTTTTTCAATCTAATGATATTAGTATAATACTTATCAATTGAGAATGTCAAAGGATTTCCCTGTATATCGGATGAGCGCAGCGACCAGCATAAATCAAAATCCCGTGCGCAATAAATGAAAATTAAGAGCGAACAAAACAAATACGAACAAATCGTGCTGGTGCCGTGCCCGTGAATGTAGAATAATTACAATTTGCATCATCACGTCTGCGGTTCTTTTATGCAATTGTTTCGCGGTTTGAATTAAAGGGCATTATGGCTTTAAATATAGTGTCATTACTTTGACATAAAATTTAGTACCATACAGTGCTATACCAAGGTTTGGAATAAATTTTAGATTTATTGGTTTCCACACAAAATCGAAATTCTGCGATTAATTGGGAAGCTCGCGTGCAAAACCATATATATTCACTTTCCTAG